TGGGGTCAAACTTATTAACTCCTTACGGTACTAACTACTATCCCGACCGATGATTGCAAACAGGCATGGGTATAACGATCTAAAAACTGAGTGTATGTGTTTCTCGTTTCGAGATTCTTATGCACATTCAGGGGCGTGGAGAACCTATCGGCGTGACTCTGATTTCCTCATATGCGACCATGAGGGAAGGAAAGGTGTCGTGTGATGGTGTCCAACGTGTTCTATAAGATCCTCAATGGTAGCATGGTAGTCTTCGGTTGTTCCGACTGCAGACATTTAGGGTATGACCGTGAGGAAGGTGCCATCGAATAAAAACATCCTCCCACTAGGTTCGTTTATAATGTTCTTTGGCTGCTACCTGAAACACCAAACCAGGTATGCACGCCCACTTCCAAAGACCCCTTTACGCATATTACTGAACTTGTAAAATCAGAAAAAATCCTTCAAAAACTAGATACTCTGAACTAATACATAATTCCAATTGCGGGGCGTCGAAGACGGATAAGTGGACCCTCCGTTGAAGTCTAAAGTGCAAGGGACACTAGACACAGTCCGCCAATTCGACATTCAAACTCTGAGCAAATAAGAATGACAGGGGAACTCACGAGCAAATGCTTTTCTTGTTAATAGACATCAAAAGCTATAAGCAATGCCTGAGACGTTGACGACTCTTATACAGTGCGTGACCGATCTCAGGAAATGTTGGCCGAAATTCTGGAATGCGTTTTCGATTAAGAAGAATTACTTAGGTGGGGTTGTAATACTGATTATCATGCGACATACTCCCATGGTATTTCAGACTCGCCAGGGTGTCGGCTCTTGAATGCACTTCTTTTTGACCTCTTGCAGAGACCATACTTGGTAAAGTAATGACTACATAAGTGACGGGCATTTTCCACATTGTTTTTCGATGGTCTCATAAATTCAAATGTATTTTATAGTAAACATGCACAAAATGTGCTTTATTTACTCATTTGGTAGAAAATCGCATTGTCTTTATATCTAGTACCCGAAGAAAGCGTATATTTAGGTTTTAAAAAAGTTTCCCAATTCCCGAATAATTTTGAGCCCGATCTGCCATCGCATTAGCATTTAGCGATTTAAGTCTGCAAGGTGCATTCTTTCCGCGTAGGGAACATCACCTATTCCTCTATGTCTTTAAGAAAATACCATACAGGGTTCATGAAATTCTGCAATGGATTTGGGCTATGTCATAAGGGCTATGTCATGAGGAGCACTGGTAAACGAAAATGTGCGATGCTGTACATATGGACACCAAACGGTCTTAAAAATCTCATAATTAAAAACTTTTTAAAACCCAAATATGCACCTTCCTTGGGTATAAAATATAAAGTAAATGTAGTTCTCTGCCAAATGAGTAAAATAAAGCATATTTTTGTGCATGTTTTCTATAAAATATATTCGAATTTATAAGACCACTGAAAATCAGAGCGAAAGATGCATGCAACTTAAGAAGCCATTTTTTGCCGAGTGCGGTTCCTCCGGGAGGTCAAAAAAGAATAAATTAAAGAGCCGACATCTTGACGAGTCCGATATACTAAAGGATTATGCTGCAAGTTAATCAGTATTACAACCTCACCTAAATAATCTTTCCTAATTGAAAACGCATTTCAGAATTCCAGTCAACATTTCATGAGATCGGCCACGCACTGTATGTAAGACTTCAAACAATATGAAGGTCATACACCAAAATCCTGTTTGCAAAATCCGCTCTCGAAGAATTAATTTACAACTAGCGAATATCCCCATGTAGAGATTTCACAGAATGCAGGTTAGCAAATCCTCCAACCAAATGATGAAGGCGTCAAATAATTCATAATTACTTGAAGAAAAGGAACTAAGGAAGCCAAAAAATGATCACTTCTACTTCATGTCTATCAAGCAAACCAAGGCCACATATCAGAAGGGCCTAGGACAGGAACGCGAGTCCAATTCACCTGAAGTTTTGTCCTCTGTCTCATAACTCTGTTAGTGGCAATGGTAAATGTTTTTTGCGGACGGATGTGGCATGCATCAGACTGACTCGGTGGCAGCGTCGATGCTTACTGCCCCAATGTCACTCTGATACGATGCTAAATACCAGCAGTCACAACCGAGCGGATGTGGGCCCGAGGCTTGATGAAGTGTGCGACTGGAAGTCTACCAACTCGTACGTAGGTTTTGTATCTTGCTAAGCTGGATGCGGTAGTGCCCGACTGTTGACAACAAATTAAACAACAAGGCCGAGCTTGACCCATTCTATTTGTCGGCAAACTTCCCTCAATTGCGCAGGACTCGTCACTATGAGACCGTCTCAAAAGACGAAACGCAACGTACCATTTGTCCCGTAATTAGGTCAGGTCGGTTAGTGCTGCTCTAACACAAGACTGAAGCATAGAATTTTGACGGTCAAGTGAGTCTTAACTACTAAATCACTTGCCACATCGCATGAACCCCCGACACACAGCTAGAACGCCAAGTGATATTATGCCCTTTTCGCAATCAATTACGTGCCCTTTTTCCTTTTCCAGAAAATTCGACAGTTACTCGGTTGCAATCCGGGATATAGACGGAATCAGCAAAAATTTCATTCACTACTCAGCCAGTTGGATTTTGATGGCAATCATGAACGTCGACTGTCAGCTTCTAGAAAGATGCGTTTTCTCCCCTTTTCTTCATTGTTCTTTCATCATGCATGAATTGCGGCTTCTTTTAACAGCCATGACTTCCGTCTTCTAATTTACCAATAAAAATTCGGTATGTCAGTTGACCTCGCGTTCAATTTCAGAACCCTGCCCTTGGCTGGCGAGTGTTGTAACATCTTTTTTCCTTTTAAAATGAATCTAAAATAGAAGAGCTCTCTTATTTCTACATAATCCTCGTTCACCCGCGAAATGGGTCAATTATTTTTGGAGCGCACTCTTCAGACGATTATACTGAGGAGTGAATGGTCTGGGACAATGGAAGAACCTATGAAAATGCACGAAAGACTACGGTAGGGAGAAGGAGCCCATTTAACATGTGATACATGATTGGTGATAAGGGGAGTTTTACGGGTGGTGCAGCATACTAGACAGTAAGTTAACGAAATACAAGAAAGCACAAAAAGTATTTGGATTTCCCCCGAAAGTCCTATCGTACGCTTTCACACGGCAACGGAAATGAGTGCGGTAATTAGAAAAAAACAAGAAGTAAATTTCAAAAAAAACAAAGAAGTTTGAGTGATGGCTTGAAGTCATGGGAAGTAATTGTTGTTGGCAGTGTAATGTCTGCAAAGGCCTGCGAGTGGATGCCAAGATAAAAGCCCATATGACGTGATCCACAGTCTGGCATCAGGGGCTCCCTGAATCAAGTGCAAATACTCCCAAGGAGCGGGTTTCGGACGACCTATCACTCTTCCAAGGTCTTCTCAATAATATTTTGGAACCCACGGAGGCTACTGAATTGATCAAAGCCTTTCGCCTTGGAAAACGAGCAGATAATTTATCAGTGTCTGTTCGTCCCCGGCCACTTAAAGTTGTGCTGGCCAGCAGCGACCAAGCCGATCTCATTCACTTCAGGCGATTCAGGGCTAAAGGCTTCAATCCAGGTGTTTTTTTCAACCGGACTACTCGCCAGCGGAACGGCTCAAACGTCGTCAGCTAGTCCTAGAGCTAAGAAAGAGGCTCAGCGAGGGGGAGAACAATTTAGTTATAGACAACAGCCAAGTACGGCGACGTCCGTCACTCTTCCTTTGGACAGGTCCTGTCCGAATGACCGCGCAGTCGACATATTAAGTGAAGACGCCAACCAAAATGTAACCACATCTTCCGTCAGCTGGAAATTGAAATTCTCCTACACCAGCGTGCAGAGTTTGCTATTAAAGTTCGACGAGCTGAAGATCCACCTCTGCGATCTATCCTCTGACGTAATCTCTATAACAGAAATCTGGTTAACCCAATACGTGGACGACCGTGGGTTGGCCTTGCCTGGCTACCAGATGTTTAGAAGGGATAGTTAAGGGAGTCAGGGAGGAGGCGTAATCACGTATGTGAAAAATGGGATAAATGCATCAGACAAAACTGATACATTTTTGGGCAGTTCCGAGGCAATATGGCTGTCTATGAAAGTGCCGAGCTCGCCTAGCCTCGATGTCCTGACAGTTTATCGACGGCCGAGACGGGATAACTTGGTCGACGCTCGCCTGCTGGAGGAGTTCGAAAAGTTATCTACGCAGCCGGATAACCTGATCATGGGCGACTTTAACGCGCCTCATATTGACTGGAGCTCGACCCATGCAAATAGCTCACAGCAAATTTTCGATGGAAGTTTTCTGAACACGGCACTGAAGTTATTTCTCACTCAACACGTCATGTACGCGAAGGCCAACAAGCCACCTGCCTTGATCTTGTCCTTACGAAGTCACAGGACAGCATTGATGAGGTGTCATGCCTACCCCCCCTTTAAGTAAAAGTGACCACGTCGTTCTTCAATGGGATTACTCGCTTTTTTCCATACCCGAGAAACCCGCGACAGTTAGATGAGACCTTTGGCGCGGGGATTTCGACCAAATGAGGGCTGAAATTTCCCTCATTGAGCGAGAGTCCGTATTTATTGGAAGCATACTCGAGGATTGGCAACGGTTCCGAGAAATTCGGCAAAAACTGATCGTAAGCCACTGTCCGCTTTCACGGAAGAGGTAAACTAACAGACCTCGATGGCTTACGCAAGCCGTGAAGGATGAAGTGAATAAAAAACGAAGACTGGGAAAAAATCGCTTTCTGACAGGAGCCCCACATCTATATGCGCGTACGAAATTTAAAGAAATCGAGTCAAGGCCCTTATCCTCAAAACTAGAAGAGAATTCAAAGGGGATCTTTTTAACCGTGCCACGGAGAACCCTAAATTATTCTCCGGTTACATACGGCAGTGCACGCGGAAAAAGGGCCCAATACCACTGCTAAAGACTGCTGAAGGCGAACATCTCGCTGAAGACGGAGCGAAAGCTGATCACCTTACTTATGGAGACCGTTCAGTTCACTGAGGTTATGGTTCTGACGGAGTTGTTGAGTCTAAAGGAATTCAAATCACCAGGTGCCGATGAGAGTCCGGCGAAGATTTTGAAGGAACTCGCCGGTGTGTTGGCTAAGCCACTCTCTATGCTTTTCCATACATCCTTCGAGGCCGGATATCTGCCACCCGACTGGAAGTCGGCGTGGATTACGCCGCTGTACAAGGGCGGAAGTCGGGTCTCTGCAAACAATTACAGACCTGTCAGCCTCACCTCCATTTGCTGTAAGATTATGGAGAGGATAATAAAGCAACAATTAATGCGGTTCCTTGAACAAAACCATCTGCCTTCCGATTCCCGGCACGGATTCCGCAAAGGCAGATCCTGTGTAACAAACTTGCTCTACTGTCTGGAACACTGGACTAGGGCTGTGGATATGGTGCACGCCATCTATATCGACTTTAAAAAGGCCTTCGACAGCGTGCCTCACCACCGCCTTCTATACAAACTCAGCCGTGCAGGAGTGCGAGGTAAGCTTCTGGTGTGGATTCGAAGTTTTTTACTCGGCCGCTCTCAAGCCGTCCACGTCGGTGAGCAGCAATCTGCCGAGGTTGGCGTTAGGAATGGTGTTCCCCAAGGCTCTGTTCTTGGCCCTACACTGTTCCCCGTATACGTCAACGAACGCGTAAACGAACTGGATTGCGATGTCGCAATGTTTACCGATGACATAAAGATTTGGAGTACCATACGAAGCGAAGTTGACGAGGCGCGACTGCAGACAAATCGGGACCACCTCGAGCAATGGTCGAAAGTCTGGCTTCTACCGTCCAACGTAAACAAGTGTAACTTCCTACACGTCGGCGGAACCAGTTCTCCTAACCACACGGTCTACCGTCTGACTGGCGAACCACTGCAAGAAGTCGACGCGTAGAAGGACTTGGGTGTATGGATCACAACCTCGCTTAAGCCTTCGCTGCAATGTTCAAAGGTGGCCAAGTCGGCGATGTCCATTCTATACCTCGTCAAACGGGCGTTCTCCTCCTTTGATGAAAACTGCCTCACCAAGGTCTTTCAGATTGTCGTGCGACCGCATCTGGAGTTTGCTATCCAGGCATGGAGACCCGGGACCGCTAAAGACTTTGGCATACTCGAAAAGGTTCAGCGGCAAGCAACGAAACTTGTATCTGGGTAGTGGTCACTACCCTACGAAACACCATTAGATAATCTTGACCTCTTTCCTTTGAGTTACAGACAGCTACGTGGGGACCTGATACAAGCTTTCCGCATCGTGCGCAATCAGGGCTGCTGCCTCGTATCTGGAGACTTCCTCGGCTTGGCGACTACGACTAACCTTAGAGGCCATCCACTCAAACTGCGTGTGACTGGCGCCCGGCTAGACATACGGAAGTTCTTCTTCCCCAACAGAGTGGTTGCAGCTTGGAATGTCTTGCCTGAGGATGTTGTTATGTTGGGATCCGTAGATACTTTTAAACGGAGGCTAGATCAACATTGGAGCGCGCACCACAATAACGCCGGACTACGGCTACCTTGATAGCCAACGTTAACAATTTAGTGTTATGACGATGTTACTACCAACATTCAAGTAACATATGCCTATGTAATTTATTAATTTTGGACCACGTCGCACACCGCTGCTCGCATTCACCACGATGCCTGTAGACTAAAAATTTTTACTTCTTTTCCTGTATCTTAAGTGTGCTTCAACTTTCTGATGCATTTAATCACCAAACCGAGTCCATGTGCCTCTAAATTCTGTTAACGCATGTCGTTCTGTGCTCATCTGAACAGTATTTCTTTCATATTACTTCCTTTCCATTTTCTCCATATACTTCCTCTGCATGTAACCAATAGGGATTTCAAAAGTACACACCTACTTTCCTTGAAATACATTGATACTGAAGTGGTGTCCTTTACCCTACCGTTGCCTAAGAAAGCTAAAGACTCTGTTACCCACGAACCAAGGGCGTCTGTCTGAAGGCCCAGTGTTGATGTTATATGTCATCGGAGGCAGAAATCTTAGAAATCGCCTCGCTGATACGCCATACGGTCTCATCCCCAGTCACTGACGATGTTATCCGTCTCCATAAACGTCGAGCTGTCGTAGGCATTCTCGGTTTTGTGGTAATGATTTGGCAATAGTATCTTTTAACGGTATTCCACAATCCCCTATACTTCCACGTAACTAGCGGTGGACACAGCCTCAACGACTGCTGACTTGACGGGTGTGAAGTCACTCGAAACAAGGCAAGATAGCACATTAGTGTCTCGACTGCGCGGTATTATGGTGTCCCGGCAGCCATCCCTTTTGTATCAAGCAGACACGTTCTACAGTGTGCTGTTATCAGCCGAAGCTGGTTGTACTCACGAGTATATCCAAGCTGAGAAACGCGTCCAGACCCTCTGTAGTTGTGTTCCTGGGATATATTGGTAGAACTTAGAGTGATCGTAAATTGTCCTAGTGCTGTAATGATAGTAGATTGGCACCATCAAGGCATCCGAAACGGCAACCAGTTAATGATTGTAAATACACTCTTTAGCCAGTTGTTTCTCGTATCAGAGACTGCGACCGACAACGTAGTGCTAGATAGGGGCCACCACTGCTTGGGGAGGGTATTTCAGTGATGATCTGTCAATGAGTTGAAAATGCACATTCGCAGCACTGGCATCTTACCCTTCCACGTTCACCGTGAATCAGTGAGAAGACTGAGATCGACTGACTGCTGATAGGATCTGCCCCAGCGGCTAACCAGGCATTTTGAACCCATCTCTCCTGACCCTAACTATCCACTGAGGTTTCTCCGGTTCTCATAAGTGATATTGAATCGCATCTAAAACATGAAAGAATGCCGGAAGTGCGCAATCAGTCTTCAACCCTGTGCTCGTGTAACTCCTGTAGAAAATCACAGACTCAGCCTGCCAGAAATGGGCCACCTCTTTGGTAGAGTTACGGAATCTCCAAATCTCATACTATGGAACACTAGCCATTCAACTCGAAATCACTGGATGTAACCTCGCCGTATCATTTTGTGACTGTCAAAAAGTAGTTCTTGCACTGACGGTTTTGTTCTCCAAAGTTTCCTTTATTACCTAACGACTGCAATTTTCATTATTCCTGAGTTCACATGCGCCTGGTTATTTCCCAGTCCTTACAGTTATACTTATTTTGGAGGCCATAAAACTGCTATTATAATGAACTTTTGATTGAGGAAACTGTACTCATTAGGAATTTCATTTTGTCAAAACGTCGAAAAATGATAAGTTTTCTGTGTCCAATTCGTGTGTGACCTGATTTCTACGTTGCCTGAACTGACGTAGCAGTCCACTGAACATCCTATCCAGAAAGCTTAGATCCGCAGAGGGCCTTATCCGCTGGTGCATACGCCGGCTTATCTTTTGCCGACTGCAGTGTACAAAGTTCTTTCTTACCACCACTATTTAAGGACTTGAGTACTGAATTGTGCGTTTTGACTAAAGATGCTTCTGTTCAACGAGCGGCATTCTATTAGGATTGGAGGATGGAAGCGAGCAGTTCTGTCTTACCCCCGCAGGCGGTCGCATAATGATTAGTGATCCTCGCTGGTGTTCCTTGTCCTTGTCGATAATACCTCTCGACTGTCAACTGCTAATCGCCATGCAACCGTCTGAGAAAGTTTCAGAGCAAAATGGAAGGACCCATTTCCGTCCATAGGAAAAACTGATCAACGTCGCTCCCATGTATCCCTGTATCTTTCTGATAACAAATGAGGGAATATTAGTCCTGCAGTCCAAGTGATGGGAGAGTTTAACCTAGAAGCGCATCCGCCTGCTGGACCGGATTTCAAATCTGGGGGACGCAAAAATCCCCGCTTCTATTAGCAATGGTTAATGATGACAAATAAATCAGAAAAGTGTATTTCGCTGTTTTTCATTATTGCATATAACATTTACATACATAATTTTCGTTTTTGATTTTTTTGTGTATTACATTACTGAGTTGGTTCATCATGCAGATAAAAACTTGCATTCATGCTTGCATTATTTAACATTTTTCGTGTTCATTAGGACGTATTTGCATAGCTCCTTTAACGTTCATATGCATCATATTGTCTCGCGGTAAATTTTCGTAGTTGCGTTATTTGGCACTCAGTGTTCTCCTTTCCCATTGGTCGCTCGCTCTGCTGTTCCGGACTTCCTTCAAATTTGCAAATGTCGGATTATCCGAGAATTAGCCGATGTACTCTGTGAGCCGGTGTCCGTGATATTTCGGAAGTCCATGAACGAAGGCGAACTGCTGGAGGAGTGGAAAACGGCCCATATTTCTCCAATCTATAAAGGAGGATCCAGGCTGGAACCCGAAAACTACCGTCCTATTAGTTTAACCTGCATTATATGCAAGGTAATGGAACGACTTATTAAAGGGCATTTAATGTCGTACCTGAAGCAGAGGGACCTGTTATGTGCTGCTCAGCACGGATTTCGTCGTGGTCACTCCTGTCTTACAAGCAGTCTCTACTCTCAGGAAAGGTGGACAAGAGCCATAGACCAGGACCGACCAATGGACGTCATCTTCTTTGACTTTAAGAAGGCGTTTGATAGCGTTCCTCATGGACGACTCCTGCAGAAGATTTGGGAGTGTGGAATACAGGGCAGCATTTTTAATTGGATTAAAAGTTTCCTGTCATGCAGGCTCCAAAAAGTCATCGTTGGTGCCACTACATCCGAATGGGTGCCAGTAAAAAGCGGCGTTCCGCAGGGCTCAGTCTTGGGTCCTCTCCTCTTCCTCATCTATATTAATGACTGTCCTGCAGACCTTGAATGCGCTGGCATCATGTTTGCAGATGATATAAAGATCTGGAAAACAATCAGCTGCGTTGAAGACGTACAGAAGCTACAGGAAGATGTTAATAAGCTGGCCGCGTGGTCCAGCAAGTGGCTTCTAGTGTTTAACGTATCCAAGTGTGTAGTCTTGCGACTAGAATCAGTACACCATAAATGGGGTTCCGCTAAAAGAAGTGGACACGCACAAAGACTTAGGTGTCTGGACATGCTCAAACTTGCTGCCCTCCCAGCACTGCAAAAGAGTCGTCCAAAAGGCAAGCAGCATCGTGCACTGGATTAGGCGTGCCTTCAAAATCTTTCCTCCAGAACTCTTCTCATAGATATTCGACACGTTCGTCAGACCGCACTTGGAATACGGAATGCCATCATGGATGCCTTGGATGAAGAAAGACAGTGATGCCATAGAGCAGGTGCAACGACGGGCCACAAAACTGGTGGACGGTCTCAGGACTCTGTCATACCCAGAAAGACTCATCCAGTTAAATTTGTTCCCCCTATCCTATAGACGAATGAGGTGTGACCTGTTATGGACATTCCGCATTATCCACGGGCATGAATGTTCGCTCAAAACTGACGACTTCTTTGAATTCACGACCACGAGTGACCTGCGCGGTCACCCGTACAAAGTCAAGGGGGAGCGTACACGCCTAGACAATCGGAAGTTTTCCTTCAGCCAGCGTGTTGTTCGACCATGGAACTCACTCCCAAGTGAAATAGTGACATCTGATACAATCGCTGTATTCAAAAGGCAACTCGATCGTTTGATCTTTGATAAACGACGACTTTCACAACAGGACTATCTGAGGCCAGCCATAAATTTCACTTCTTGATTTCATCCCTACTTAACACATCCCCGACTTTTAATGAAATGTCTCCTCTCAAACTATGCAAATGACAGCACTTTATGCTGATTGTATATAACTGCACTTAAAATTTCATATGTACACTAAGAAGACCGCCTGCCGCACCCTTCGAAGTCCCGCATTGTGAAAACGTTTTTCATGAACAAATATGTTACTGACAAACGTTTAGTAAGATGTACATTTAACATTTATATTTTATGCGCCGTTTTCAATAGGGTCGTCAAGGGCA